ATTGAAAGTGAAACTGTTGATGTATTTCTGTTAATAGATCTCATTTTGGAAAATATTGATATCTTTCAATCATGATTATTTTCAGGATTATGATGATCACTTACTGAGTAGCCAAACTCATCAAACTATGGTAAACATTTTTCAGGATAACTGCGGATTCATTTTGAGTGCTAGTCAAGATCAACCTTGGAAGATACTGTTGTTGTGCTAGCTTTCTTTATTTACTTTGTAAGACCTCGCCATTGTAAATTTGTCCTATCAATAGATGTATATATGTTTTGTCCGTCACATCTCAGGAATAACAGTACTGTAAATTCTTGGGGTGTGACATATACTAATGAGGATTTACAGCAAAAACAAATTCTATGGGAAGTGTAATTGCACTATTAGTCTATTACATTAGTAAAAGCACTAATTTAATGATTTCAAGCATTCCATTAAGTACTATAACGCCTTCAAAAAACTAACAAAGACCGACAAGTCTATATAGTCCATGGATTACAAAATCAGTAAAATGCTCTAACAATTGTTAAGAACAATGTTGTATGCAGTGTGTGAAAATACATGTATAATGAGTCCTGACTATGCTTAAAATGCATAATTTGACAGGCCTTATATTCTATCGGCCATTTTCATGCCACATGTCTCAGTTTTTCACAATATTATCTTTAGATCACATCTACTTTGCTGAACCACATCATTTCAAACTCATTGGCAAGCATACAAATTTATATACAGTATGAAGGCTATTACCAACAAAAGGGGGAAATGAAAATGACAACAATTTCCCTCGCAAAGGAATTGCACACTAACGACAGACAAGGAGCAAAAGGAAAAAGATACTCCAAAGCACGACAATAAAGTTCGAAAGAGTAACAAATGACAAACCCCATTGTAAAATTCAAATGAGCACTATCTTGCAGTAAGAAAATTTACATGTTGCCAAACTCACCAGCTTTTTCAGAGCATTTGAAACAGTTAACATCAAACTTATCATCAAAGGATACATGCCAAAAAGTTCATAACATCAGGCGGAAGAAAGTCGAATATGAAATTTGAGCATATAAAAATTAGGACACATCTGTAAGAGATTAACTATTTTCGATACACGTCTGATTCAATTGCCGGAATAGCTGTTGCAGTAAATGGACAAAGCAATCATTAGAAATAAGTAGCATTCCATTATTTGCGATGAGCATACCAATTAACAGGAATTGGGTTTTCTGGTCCACGAAATATGGTTCCACAATTCTTTGCGTGATGCATAGAAGAAAAGAAGTCAGTGTAGTCCCCAATTGCAGCAGGTAGAAGCAGTTCTACTTGATCCTGTTCAGCAGATAATATATTTACGCTCTTATTACATTAGTTATGACTCAGTAAATCAAGAGATAGATACTATAGCCCCAAAAAGATATATATTATCAATGTTTATCTTACCATTGAGAAAAGTGACCTTTCCCTTAAGCTTGCATTGTCTCGTAACGTTGGCTCATCAGCTGTATTTTGAAGGCAATAACAATGAGTTCTTTCAAGACAAATTTACAGGTGAAGCTTTCATGAGTTCAAGTTTACATGTAAAGAAAATGCCGACAACTGCAAAAGGAAAATTTTCTACAGTGGGCAGGAATAACTTCTTGTGAGTTTGAGCTAAATAAAACCGAGTTGCTTCCCTGACATGTTTTTAGATGGCTATAAGCATCAATTTTCTACCAAAATAGTAAAACAGCAGCTATCTTCTCTGCAACTCGAACAAGAGCAGTCCCTATAATGGTAAGGTTCAATAAACAGGATGTGTTTTGTTAAGATCATAAAATTTGATGACGTGCAGTATGTATACTTAGTGATGAAGAGCACAACTCAACTTCTTTATACATTAGGGTCAATAGTGCTCTCTTGAATATTCTCAAGCTACATGAGTTTCAAGGGCAAGTAATTTGACCAAGTATGAGTCAGGAGAGAGCAAATATCCTTTTAGATTGTTCTGATTCTAAGGTTGCTCAAGAAAATTCTGCATCTGATTTTAAAGTGGATCTACAATATCCAATGATAAGATGGTGGTAGATATTTGGGACAAGCTAGGGCTGACAACGCATGGAAGAATGAAGCCAATTGTATTTCACTCCAAATAAGTGTACTAGCACTAGCTCTCCAATCATGAGAGTATAGATATTAACTTACACTCCACAACAAAGATGCCATTAATGTAATAACCCAGGTCAAAATAAACATTTAAAGACCATAAAATAATAAATTGCAAACTGCTTGGCAGGAGACCAGAAAGCAAGAGGAATAGTGTGAATACAAAATCAAATTTTAAGTTTGAAAACAAGACAATTACATATGAACTAATCAGCCATCCATCACTGGAAAAGAGCAAATGTATCATATTTCTCACTAGCATACAGTTGTAGGGTTTTACTGGCTCCATTATGCTTATTTCAATTCTGGCCACTGAACCACAGATAGGTGTTAGCCCTCCCCCCCCCCTCCCACATATAGAAGGTTGCAGCCAAAATTAATCAGCTACCCATCACTGGAAAAGAAAAAATGTGCCTATTTCTCACTAGCATACAGTTGTGGGGTTTTACCAGCTCCATTATGCTTATTTCATTCTGGCTACTAAATTACTGGCATGATTGTTTAATTCCCCTATTGTTATTTGTATCTGTGATTTATGACATCTCACCACAGTCCTCATGCTTTTAATTTATGTATTCCCATGGGTGGATAGTTGGTGCTAGTCAAATATATGAGAATATCCATAGTTAACTGTTTTTGTTTTGGCTAGAAGTATCTATAGTTTTTTGGCTATGTAATGTTGAACACTTCAGCTATCTATAGCTAAGAGGTTAAACTCATTGAGACAATTCTCTATAGCTAAGAGGTTAAAATCATTGAGACAATTCTCCTAAAAAGTTTTTGCCTGGTAAACAAACTATTTGAAATAATCATGTACATTAACATATGGGAGTATCCTCCAAGGAATTTTTTTTAAACTACAACACATATAAGTCTCATTTCTCATAAGATTAGATACCAAATACCAGAAAGTAGTCTTTGTATAGTAGCACGTGCCTCCTTCCATGCAGGACGTCCCAGTGCCAAGAACATGTTTAAAGAATTCTGCAAAGAAGAACCATGATATTAGGTATATAAAGAGTGACAAAGCCACTAGGCAAAGCAAAATAGATTCACACTGTTGACTTTTAGGAAGATTGAATTAAGTAAACTATCAAAGAAAACAGTAAAACTAACAAGAGGCCACTAGCATGAAGACAGATAAAGAGAATGATGCTAATACAAATCTTTGGCCCACAAAGAAGTAAATCCAAATACCACAATGAACAAAACCACTAAGAAAGCAATCAAAGTTGCTCACGGAACTAACATAGTCCACTAATAGAACTAAATATCATGACCAAAATCAATAATGGGGAGCACATATAGACACGATAAATGCTAATTCACTTCAATACTCATAAGGATCTTCCATTTCACACTGAAACAAATAATGGTAAGACACATTCAGAAAAACAAAAAAAACAAAAAAACAAATGGTAGTAAGACAGAGAACACAACAGAAGAAATTACCAGCTACTCAAATACAATCAACAGAATAGGTTTTTCATTGTTCATCTATAAATCCAACAGAAGAAATTACCAGCTACTCAAATACAATCAACAGAATATCTTTTTCATCGTTCATCTATAAATCCAATTTTTCATGTATTTCGATAATTGACTTCAATATTTCAAAGAATTATATTTCACTAAAATTCCTGAAGAGAGAGTCTAAGTTTATCAATACCGACACACTCTACATGCATCTTCATCACAGAAAACAACATTCAGAAAAGAAAGAAAAAATAGCAACACAACTATAGAGCATTTTCATTCCAACTCTCATAAAATTTCACTTGAAAGTCCAAATTTTGCATAAACAAGCCCAAAAAAGTAAACCAATTAAACAGAAACTTCTTGTGAGTTTAGACAAATTCACTTGCATCTCCAAAGTTGCAGAAGCAAATCCACAACAACTCTCATAACAAATTCACAAATAGCCAAAATCAAATCAATGAACCTTCCATCACAAAACAGAGAGAATCAGACTCGAACAAACAGAAAATGCAAGCTAAAAAGCGAGATAAAAGAACCTGGAAGAAGCACTCAGAATCCTTTAGAAGCGGTTCATTAAAGAGCCCTGCTCCTGCAATGGCTGATAGGTCCAATACATATTCCCCTATCGCCACACCAATCCGAGCTTTCTGCTCTTTTCCAGGCTTGAAAACACCATAGGGCAAGTTTTGAAGAGAGAAATGGGAGTCAGGATGAACATCAATGAAGGATTTCAACGTCATTTCTTCAAAGGAAAAATGTAGGGAGTTTCAGAGTTTCCGAGCCACTTGAAAGCTTCACAATAAGAGCTTCTCCTCTCTCTGTTTTGAGATTCAAATCACACCTCTAAACCACTTTGTTTATCTGCCAAATAATTTCAGGAAGGAATTCAGGAAGGAAAATTTCCAGAGCAACTTTTGCAGAGAGAGAGAGCCATTAATTTGTAGAGAGAGAAAGCAGCCAATAGCACGAGAGGAGTCACTTCCGTTCGAGAGAAAATATTTAGAGAGAGGGAGATTTATAAATAGGGAGAGGGGGTAGAGAGTAGCGGGAAAAGGAGTGCATGATCACCTACCATTCACTATAATCGTAACCCCGTTTCTGGTAACGGTGCGGTTTTTAGAGGTTTTAATCATAAACATTCCAAATAATGCACTTCCAAATTTTATCATAACATTTAATTTTAGTGTAAAAAATTTTTAGGATTACCTCAAAATCGATTCTTATATCTAATTATAAAAGTTTAAAATTTAAAAATGGTTAAGATGAAGTAGATTTATAAACATATGAAAATCTTAAAAACTGGACGGTCTCGATAATGTGGTGCAAGTTGCATTAGTTTTAAGACTTAAAATTTTTATTTCATTTTTTTTCATATTCATACATCTCGTTGTTGAGATGATTACTTAAAGGGTATTTCAACATTAAAACAATATTTTTCAATGGATTTTTGAGGTGCATTTGTAATTTTATATTTTACTGTTGCAACTTTATATATTGTAAAAATGAGGGCTTGGCAATAAATATATTTTTTAAAATATAATTTGATCCTAATTTTTAGAGAATATATAAATTTTAATATGCGGATCATGAATATGAAAAAAAAAACTTTAAAAAACTAGAAATAGTAATTATATTATGTAAACATTTAGACACTTAGTTACACTTGTTTTAAGATGGACCACAAATTTGCATCTTTATACCTCTGGACGGCATAATGTAGAAATGTAGTTTAGCCCGCATGAAACAATTTTCCTTCTAATCCATCCATACTGAAAAGTGAGAATACAATCGGAATTAGTATTTTCACCGATTTTTTAGGGGATGGGAATTTTGGATGTAGTTAATCTTGACCATAGAAGGTGAAATTGGGTGACTACAATTATTCCACTAACCAAGCTCAAACTTCAAAATAGATGTTTTCAAACTTTGTGACACAACCAAGCTATCAAGTTTCACATAAGATGCTTGTAAGTATTTGTGACCGCCTTGTATCAAAAATCGTATACAATCCCAAAAATTACAAATCTTATATATTAGTGAATACTTATTTTTAGGGTGAAATACACTATCTAAATAATATGTTACAATAGATATAATTTTTAGCGTTTGAAATTCTTTTTTGTTTTTCACAACCATAATAGTCAAGGTCGGGATGATCAATTTGATCATTTTCTAATGCCGAAACTATAGTTGTAAGTTTTGATGATCAATTTGAAGTTTTTTTTATCCTGAAACTGCAATTTTTGGTGAGTTTTGAATTGAGGCTTTACTTATTTAAATAAAGCTGCAGCCCTACGAAAACATTTTCGAAATTTTTATGTGGACTATTAGAAAAATGTTTAGAAGGGAATTTCGTAACTACCGCGTCCCGTTAGGTTGAGATTTATATATGCCCCACTTGCACGGTTAAATTTCTGCCTCTTACCCTGCCCACTCCTCATTATCGTTTGTGGGGCAGTTTGACGCTCATGATTCTTTTTTCTTTTTGTTTTTTTTAATGTTCATTCTATACAAATTTAAACATTTTATTTTGGATGAAATCTTGGTAGAAGAATACTTTAACTTCATTTAAATAGATTCTTTCTTCTTCTTTTTTAATGTTGATTCTATAGAAATTTAAACATTTTATTTTTGGTGAAACATTTTTTTGGGTAATTTGTTTTTGTTGAAATCTTGGTAGAAGAATATTTTAACTTCATTGAAAATCTCGACCATCATCTCAATAATGCAAGTACTTGTCGTATTTGAAAAACATATGAGCGACACGGATTGCCTATTAGAAAACTGCTCCAGATCAGTCGATCTGCAATCTGGATCGGTGAATCGACAATTAGGTCCGGCCTTAAAAAAATATTTCAAAGGCTCATTAAATTTTTAATAAATATGGTTGTTTAAGTATCCAAAAAAGATATGTACTTTCAATATTTTGCAAACATACGAAATGTTGAAATGTTATTTCCTAGTTTGAATGTGGATTGACAATTACATTCACATTATAATAAAAAAAGAATATACAATTATCATTGATATGAATATATGGTTCAAAATAGAATATACAATTATTGAAATACAAACTAATATGAAAATAAAAAATGGTGTTATTCTTTCCGTTCATCACATTGTTGCGTTGAATTGTCTTGATAATTTATAAACGCAATGAGAAACAAAAGGTTGTATATATCCACGTATCTGTTGAGAATTGATGTCTTGTATTATGAAGAAATATATTTGTCAATGTGGAGTCAAAAAGATGACTCCGGAGGGCCGGTAAAAGACTGAAGAGCCGAAGGCCCCTAGGGCTTGAGGCTCGGAAACTTGATATATATATATATATATATCAGTATATGGGTATTTTAGTAATTTATACCATTTATCTGAGATTCAATATATATTATTGCAATTGGGGGTTCATCAAGATTTAAGGGTTAAAAGAAAAACGCAGATCTCTTTGTAATTAGATAAAACAAAGAGGTGTGAGGAAGAGAACGTATTAAAATGGGTACTCGAAGATAATTTCTAACTCACTACTCTCATAGTTTCTAACTCACTACCCTCATCATAAGGTGTCGGTATTAAGTTATGCACCAAGCAACGGGCCAATTCCTCAACTTGCCTTCTCAATTCTTTTATCTAAATGTCTCATAGACCATTTCCATAAGCTAAGATGTATTTCAATGAACACCACAATCCACAAGAATCGACTGATGCCCTTATACCACCTGACACAGTTGAATTTACTGGCCGCTAATAACCAGCAAAACAATTGTGTTTTAAAGAGTGAAATAAAAAAAACTGAGAAGAAATTAGTGAAAAAAGAACATAGACGTAGAAGTCCGAGTTCTCCACCACGCATCATCAGAGTACAGAAAAGAAAAACTCACAAAAAGGGCTCCCCCATTCTCTATCCCTAGAAAGCTTTTTCCATTCAACCCAAAAATCCATCCACATCCCAACCCAAATAATAAATGGTGTGGTTTGTATCGAGCCCAGGTTCTAAACAATCAAATTAGAGCATACCTTCAAATAATGTCGAGAAATGTGGTTTCAATACTAAAAATTATTGTGATAGCCTTAAAATATATCTTCATGTTTATTTATAAAGTTTGAGCTCCAAAAAATAATCTAAATCGACAAATCTATGAAAACTTGAAAGTCTTGAAAATTAACGGTCCAAAACTGCGTTAAAAAATACGCTATTTTCAAAACTTGAAATCCATTTTTTTCTTGTATCTAATTTGATTGTTTAGAGCCATGGCTCTATAAACTTTTCCCAATAATAAAACCAATCTAATAGAAACCTTCTTAAAAAAATGTTGCAAATAAAGAAATAAAAATGTACCTAAAAAAAAGTTTATTTTTCCTAAAGACAATGGACTCTTATTATCTTGAAAAAACAAACTTGCTAAAAAATGGATTTTGTCAAACTAATCTAAAAATCCTATTTTTAACAATTAATCTTAATAATAAAAAAAAGTCTACCCACATCTCTAAAAATAAAATTAAAAGTTCGTAGCAACTAGATCTTGATATACATAAAAAAGCCTTCTAATTTTTTTTATGGATTTCAATATTCTAGAAATAATGATAAATTTTAGGCCAAAATGGGCCAAAATTAGTTGTTTAATCACATTAATCAAAACAAGTTTCTTGTGGAATTTTCAATTATTTACATTTAGAACCAAACTTCAAATAATTTGGTCATAAATTGAAGCTCAAAACCCAAGAATGGCGGATTTCTCAAATATAGTAAAAAGAAAGGCTATTTACTATAGAAATTCGATGGACAACTTGATAGATGAAACTTTCCACCAACCTAAGGCTTCTTATAGCCCCATTTCAATTATTAGATTTGAGAAAGGAAAAAAAAAAGAAAAAAATATCACAATCATTATTGACTGTTGGATATGAAGTCGGGTGGTTAAAGATGTGTTACTATTTGGATGCAAAGTTCAAAGAAAACAGATTTCCAATCCGGATCGGAATCAGTAAGGACAGAATCAATTTTTGGATGGTAAAGTGTCAGATCCGGTTCCCCCTTAAAACCGCCCATTATATTTTTCCTTTTTTTGTAATTTTATGTAATGTTTTCTTAAATCCTCTTAAATCCCCACCCCATAAATTCTTATTTTTATTTTTATTTTTAATACTTTTTGAATCACCAATTAAGACCAATCCAGACCCTATCTAGATATGTTATCCATCGATTCAACACAAATTTTTGGGTGAACTATGAGCCCCACGATCTGATTTTCTCAAACACTCGTCGGATTGCACCTTTTTTTATGACAAATACAGTCCAAAAAGACCTGAGTATAGCAACCACCACCACGATCAACAATCAGAATATGAGTCACTGCTCCTTATTTTGCCAGACTCTATTTCGTGTGCGCTCTATTCTCTTCTATTTAAATGCTTCTTTATCTCGCTTAAATTTGGTTAATGTGGAAGGTCCGCTAGTTAACCCCCTCCATCATATGTGATGTTTAATGAGTTCCCCTTCATTAAGATCTTACCCTAATTCTCAAGCGACAACCTGTCTTCCTGATGGAGGGGCCAAAAAAGATCACAGTGCATTTCGTGGTATGATCTTTATCATGCCCTAAAGGGCTGGCCACGGATCGGGTTGGGTCTGGGTCTGCGTCTGAACACAGACTCGACACCCGAAAAAATTTTTGGGACCCGGACCCGGACCTAGACTCGATTGGATCCGAATTTATTGGACCCAAACCTAGACCTTGACCTAGCTCTAGACCCAATTGGACTCGACCTAAAAATAAATAAACAAATAAATATATATAGTTATATCTATTCAAATATTATTAAACTATTATATATTAAAATAATAATACTATTATTAAAATAATAATAATATAAAATTATTGAAGTAATAATACTATTTGGGTCTAGTTCAGGTTGGGTGTCTAGTCCAAGTTGGATCTACATGTACTCAGACCCGACCCGTTGGGTCCAATTTTTGGACCCATGCACGAACCTGGGTTGGGTCCTGTTGTCGGGTCCCCGGTCCATTGCCACCCCTATGCCTCTTATACCTACTAGACCTAGATTTCTATTGAGCTTTGATCAAACTTTAGCTTAATGGAGGCCATTGTTGGGGGCACTTGCCTGCAACTTGACCTCATTTTCTTTGCTTTTTGTTTGATGATATCCTTGAGGGCACTTTTATGCAACTTGACCTCATTTTCCTTGCTTTTTGTTTGATTATGTCCATGAGGGCACTTGTCTGCAACTTGACCTCATTTTCCTTGCTTTTTGTTTGATGGTGTCCTTGTTCAATGTGTCCAACATGGCACATCTTTGCATTCTTTTCAGTAAGTAAAGATCAGCAACAATCACTGGAATTTTCGATTGAGCTCTGAAGGTTCTCATTCTCAATCTCCATTCATTTCATATTAGCGTTCTGAAACTCGGCCGGTAACTTGGACTCAGAGCGAGACAAATTTTGTGTGAGTTGGTTGCGCACCATTTATTATTTTTAGTTTAAGTATATTAAAACCTTTGGGTTCCACTCCCGTTTAACCTCTTGTTCCGAGGTCGATTAATTGAGGAAACAATAACCGACACGCCCTTATTTGCTTGAATGATAAAAAGCGGCACTTGCACTATATAATAACTATATTTTATGTTTATTTTTAAAAAAAATATATAACTATATTTTATATTTATTTTTTAAAAAAAATAGATTGAACCTGCCTTTGACCGAGCCGATTTTTTTAACATTGTTTCATATCATCCGCATGGTAGCAGCAAATAAAATTCAACATAAAGCGGTCAAGTGCTGAACCAGAAATCAAGGAGTTCTACTGCTAGAGGAAGAACCCAAGTCAGCGACGATCGCCCACCTCCTTGTCTCCTTGTAGAAGGGCACTGCATTAAAACCTTTAGCGCAGATCTCTTTCAATTTGAATCCTTTTAAGACATTTTCACAGTAAGCATGCATGTGCACACACCAATGTACGATAACCCGGCTAGGTTGACTCGGAACTAGCAGGGTAAACCAGAACCGGCCACTAGCCGAATATTTTTTAAAAAATCATATATATATATATATATGAAAATGTGACACCCTCCCATACCCATGTGTGTAGGATCTCTAAAGATCACTATTAAATTTGACATACTCATGTTATAACTTTTCTAGAGATATGTGTCAAATTTAATGGTAATCATTTGAGATCTTACACACATGGGTGTAATCTTACACACATGGGTGTAAGAGGGTCTCATAAGATCATTACTCATATATATATATATATATATATATACTACCTTGTGTAACAAATAAATCCTATTTTCTACTTACTTTCTACTTACTATTTAACGTTATTTTATTTAATTGCTACTTTAAATATATTTCGTGCAAGTGAACACTGATTCGCACCCAATAAAGAAAACAATGAGAGGCACACAAAAATACAATGGTTATAATCTATGCTCGAGTTACCGGTCACTGACCTACCAATCCGCACCAAACTCCAAAGGCTTCCATATATGGGCTTTAGGATCACTCCAAACCACTTAGAACATAGGAATGGCTTCCATATATGGGTTTAAGGATCACTCTAAACCACTCGAACATAGGAATTGTCAAGGTTGTGGCTTCCATCTTCAACAAATCTTCAACTAGGAATCATTGTGTGCCTTCAGGGCATCACAGAGACAATCAGGTACAATGTTTCAAAAAATGCTGTGATAAATTAGAATTGCATGGTTCAACAGGATCGGCTAGTGGGTGATGCTAGTCTATGTCCTTGAATCGCCCAATTCTCGAGGGTCCAACCAAATTTGGGTCCAAATGGCTCGAAAATCATGAACTAGTTTCAATAGAAATCATGACATATATCTTCGATAGTAGGTTAACAAAAACATACAACATGAAAGAAAAAAATCAATGCTGACTTATTGTGCTCCTTATTATGTTGTTTCTCTGAAATTTATTTTGGACAATCCAGATAGAGGGACTAAAACTCGCCCCCTATATATGTGTTATCCATCAAAATATCGGCCCTGTTTGGGTGTGCATATAAGCACCACACAAGGCAGATCACACACGATGTTTAATGTCAAGATCTTCCCTTCCCAATATGAACAGTTCCCTGCCTGCTCGAAAAGGCACATATCGGCCGTGGGGTGGAGCCACTTTTCCAGAAAAGGGATTTTGCTTCAAGCCCCAACAAGCCCCCAAACAAGACAATAAGGACAGTTGCGTGATAGGCAAGACAACAATGCAGCTTCATTTATTCCAGAAAACATAGTGGTGCCAGCATATCAAGTAGATTTAAGATCAAATGGTTGAATATGAAAACAAAAATCAACTCAAAATTTCATTCAGTCTTGCACCAACTAGGAAGGATTCAAACCAAAGACTTTGTAAACTTAATGGAGACCCACTGTAAGCAAAAGCAGAAGAGACAAAATCTTGAAAATTCGAGGCGATGCATTCATCTCAAATTCCATCTTACATTTTCATTCTCTCTTAAAAATTGGGTTACATATATATAACAATTGATATTTTACATAGGAAAATTGAGAAGCTAATAGTGGACAAAATTAGGTATACATTGATTTGAAGCCTTCTGTAAGAGCAACCACCTTCGCAGAAGCCTTACTTTGCAGCTTCGATGCAGCTTCACGGATGTCCTGAAAAATGAGATTGAATAAAAAAGCATATATGAAAGACCATATAGAACAGAAAATTTAAAATGGAAAAACATATTCACAATACATAGATCTCAATTAGTCAATCAATCAATCACCTCTAATTTGTAGCGAGACGAGAAATGTGTGAGCACAATCGCCTTATTCCTAAACCATTTCGCCTGTTCTATGAGCTGCATTTATCAACTGCTAATCAGTTTCTTTGTTTAAACAAAAAACTACAATAAAAAGACAACCATAAATGTAAAATTGCAATAAAACCATTTCCATATAATTTGGATCGGCCCATGTCGTTAGCTCACCACAAGGAATAATTGGGCCATTCAAGCCACAAGAATAAAACTTAAGAGAAAGGCAAACATATTTAGATGAACATGATATGGTCCAGGCCAAGTAACCAAATCTAGTTAACATCTTCAAAATGAGTGTATCAACCCTATAATCTTCTTAAACAACAACCCCTCCCCAAGGCAACAGCAAAGAGCATTTTGCTAGTAGTTGTTTCATGTTGACAAGAAATAGATGAGATGACTGAAATCACATATTGAATTTCTGGGAACCAAAATGATCGGCTAATTTCCATAACTAATAAGCCACCAAATTATCTCAAGAAACCAGAAAATTGCTCCTCCTCAATTTACAAGAAAAGTTTTCCTGTAGATATACAACTCATGGTTAAGAGAGGACCAAGAAACAAGAATTCATCCAAATAGAGGAGTAAGAATCACATAATGGTTATGTACACACGAAACACCAGATTTCATCTTTCATCATTAAATTCAGTACCAATGGTAAATACTTGTCTCATTTACACCTTATAGGTTGGGTTCAGGGTACTTAGCTTCCTTGCCCTTTTCCACATATCCACAGTGTATCATTAATAACGCCAATATTATTTTCAATAATCCAAACTACATAGTCCTATGGAGTTATCCATGCGCTTATGGAGATATAGTCTTCCTCACCAACAAGGCGGGAGATGAATTGAGTTCAGAAGCATGTATTTGATTATCTTAGTAATTGATCAGTATTAACTTCTTATAATAAACCCATAGATGTAAAGGTCATTTACAGAACAAGGGAGGGAATTTCACACTTCCAAATTCATCAGGAAGAATTTGATGTGTTCATGGAGAGGTCAGTCATTGTTAGTTGAAGGATTTCAAGCAGAAAGTAAGTATATAGTAGCAATTGCAAGTGCTTAGAAATCATCAAGAGGATATAATCTATCAAATTGGGTCCTGTGCTCACTTCAAACAAATGGGTATGGCCATGTTCTCGAGCATGCTCAACGCTCATCACCTCATCAAGAAAAGTGGCCTGGAAGAAAGAAAGCTTCAGGTAAGTAACCTCCATTAACAAGAATGAGAAAACCTTTATAAATGATCAGCTAGGTTTACTTTCTTTGACAAGATATCAGATACAGAAAAAACAAACATAGTCAGATTCTAAAATTTTCAGACGGGAGCAACTACGCATGGATAGTTTGAAATGAAATCTCCGAACACAATGAATCTGTGAGAATTTCGATAAGCGTATAACTGTACATTATTAGAATGAACTATCGACTGTGAGAGGGGCAAGCTACAGACAAAATATCTAGACCCTAATTCATACCAGACAAATTCGAAACCTTAGCTATCCTGAGACAAATCTGAAACAGTAATATACATGAAATGTTAACACATGAATAATCGTATTTTCCTTTGTATTACTTTGGGAAAACCCCACATACTTATAGCAACATTTCTTAGACGTGTATGTACGCATTGGAGACTACAAATGAGGAACTAAGTTGGTAGAGTTGTTACCCCTTAGCCTATTCAATAGAGAATCTTATCCCTATTCAACAAACAAAGATACTCAAATATTTACAATGGTTATCTACAAGATATATTCTAATACTCCCCCTCAAACTGATGTGGATGTACCAACATCAGTTTGTTCATCAAATAATCATGGCGCCCTTTAGTCGAGGACTTGGTGAAAATATCAACAATCCGATCCTTGGAAGAAACATGAGGTAGTGTGATTTCTCCTCGTTCAATTTTTCCTAAACAAGATGGCAATCTATCTCAATATGCGTAGTCCGTTCATGGAAAACCGGGTTGCTGGCAATTTTGACTGCACTTTGATTGTTGCAAACCAATGGGGTTGGAGAATTTGAGATAACACCAAAAACTGTGACTAGTCATTTGAGCAAGATAATTTCACCATATGCGGAAGACATAGCCCGATATTTTGATTCAGTAGAAGACTTGGATTTCCAAGAAATCAGGGATGCCCCGTGAAAGACACACTAGCCGGTAGTCGAGCGACGTGTATCCGGACCACCAACAAAATCAGCATCAGAATACACTCTTATGGTCAAGGACGACGATCTATTATATGAAAGGCTGAGATCAGGTGTGGATCACAGGTACCGAATAATGCGATAAACTGCAATAAGATGAAGTCGTTGAGGATCGGAAACAAATTAACTGACAAGCTAAACTGCATGAGCTATATCAGGTCGTGTCACAGTTAGATAGACCAAGCTACCCACATTTTCCTATACATAGTTGGATCAATGATTGGGTCGCTGTCAGACCTTCCATATTTGACATTCATCTCCAATGGTGTGTCTATCGTCTTTTCGTCTGTGAGTCCTACGAATGCTATGAGGTCCTAGGTGTATTTTCTTTGACTAACCTGATAGCCTTCAGGTGATCAGGAGATTTCAAGTCCTAAGAAATATGTAATGTGACCCAAGTCCTTCATCTGGAAAGAACCTTGGAGGACCTTTTTCAAGACTCGTATACCTTGATGATCATCTCTTGTAATTAAAATATCATCGACATAAACCAATACAAAGATACTGCCTTTAGAGGAGGAACTGAACAAGGAGTAGTCATTGCTATTTTGTCGGTATCCCGCACCCAAAAGAGTATTCTTTAGCTTTGCAAACCACGTTCGAGGTGCTTGTTTCAACCCATAGATTGCTTTTTGTAATTTACACACCATTCGAGTTGGCGAAGTAGGGTACCCAAGTGGCGGTCGCATATAAACAGTTTCATATAGATCCCCATGTATAAAGGCACTTTTTACGTCCATCTGGAATATATCCCAATTTCGAATGGCAGCAACAACAATCAAAGTGAGGACAATAGTCATTTTAGCAACTCGTGCAAAAGTCTCATCATAGTCAAGGCCATGCTCCTGATTATAACCTTTTTGCGACGAGTCTAGCTCTATATCGATCCAATGTGCCATCCGACTTAAGTTTGACAGTATAAATCCATATGCTACTGGCCACAGCATGACCTTTGGGAAGTGGGACCAAATCCCAGGTGTGGTTAGCTTCCAATGCTTCAATTTCTGTCTACATTTCTTGACTCCACTCTGCACTATCTACTGCCTATTTGTAAGAACTAGAAATGAAAGGTGGTTCAAGTATTGAAAATAAAGAAAGATGAACAAGTGGTTCAGGAACTCGAGTGCAGCATCTTAAAGCCAATGTGGAAGAAGGAGGAAGTGGAGTATGAACAATACCTGTTTCCAGTGGTGATGGCGCAGGCGTAATTGGGAAGCTCTCGTTTGTTGTTCAAACAGCTGCAAAGGGTTAGGAAATAAAGACAAGATGGAAGCAATGGATGATGGAGTCAAGGACACTGATTGAGATGAACACAACTTTTTAGAAACATATGGAACTTTTCTAAAAAGATCACACTTCGAGATATTCTCAATTTCTTAGCTTCCCAATCATAGCAGCAATATCCTTTTTGTGTCTCCCCGTATCCGAGAAACATGCATTTGACAGACCTTGCATCTAGCTTAGATCTACTAATTGAAGGTAAGAGAACAAAACATGTGCATTAGAAAATTAGAAGTAAAGAGTAATTAGGCGGATGCCCAAATAATTTCTCAAGTGGTGAAGTATTATTTAATACAGGAGTGGGCAATCCATTAATTAAATATAGTTCAGTAAAGAAGGCTTCTGCCCAAAATACTTTAAGCATATTTGTATGGAGAAGTGCCCTAGTTGTTTCTTGAATGTGTCTATTCTTTCTTTTTGCAACACCATTTTGTTGTGGTGTATGAGGATAACTTCATTGATGTAGAGGGCCTTCTTTAGCCAAGAAATAATGAAAATGCTTTGACATATATTCTCCCCCTGAGTTTGTGCACAAAATTTTCACCTTCTTGTTAAATTGGATGACTACCATTACATGAAATTCTAGAAACACTTGTAAAACCTCAGACTTGCGATGCAAAAAATATATCCAAGAATATCTAGACCAATAATCTATAAAAGAAATGAAATAATATTTTTCAGTTAAGGAAGCAACTGGTGTTGGACCCCATACATCACTATGAATTAAATCAAAGGCACCAACGACACGACTCATACTAGAACTGAAAGGTAATGTCACAGCTTTGACACGAAAACAATCTTCACATAATTTATCTAGCACATTCTAGGTATTAATTCTATTCAATAACACACCCAAAGAAAACAATAAAGTCAAATTCAAATTATGAGGATGACCCAAATGATAATACCAGAGGCTCCAAAGTTTATTTGCATAATTTATTTCAAAGACAGAAGGAGCAAAAAAACATTGATTAGCAGATGAGTCAGTTCCGAAGTCCAAGACAAAGAGTTCAATCACCTTCCCGGTCCGCAACTCCTGTAACAAATAACCAGGAATGGAAAATGAGAAAATATAATTTTGTTTGACAAATTGACTAACAGAAATTAGATTGGCTGATAGATTAGGTACATATAACATTAGAAAGAGATAAAGGAGGAGAGTTAGGACGTTGAATGAGTAGTGAATCAACTTTGTTTATAAGAAGTAACTGACCATTAGCAATATGAACACTTTGAGTGCCCTTATATGGAACAACTTGTTTCAAAGATGTCAAGTTGCTTGTCATATGATTGGAAGCACCAGAATCTAATACGCAAGAAGTTTGGAAATCAGCCTTACCAAAACCAGAAACATGGAGAGCTCGTATGACTTGTTATAGAAATTCAAGTGTAAGGGAAGCCGATTGACTTTGAGGGGAGATGGATGGTAGTGCAAGCATAACAGAAGGTGAAGTCGGAGCAACGGTGGTCGTGTCTGAAGTAGACATGACTGCAGCATATACTTGAGGACGTTTCTTCCGATTTTGGGGCCGCTTTCTACACTCTGTGATTAAGTGTCTGGTCTCCTTGCAGTAATTGCAGACCTTTCTCTTCTTGCAATTATTCGCCAAGTGTCTAATCTCTCAACAGTTATGGCACTAGACTTTGCTCTTATCCCATCCTTTCCCAATATTTGAAGCAACCAAAAGGGCAGAATCCTTGGAATAATCACCATGGATTGAAAGTGACTTTAAGCAAGTAGTTCAGGAAGAATTTTATCAATATCATGACTACCTTCTCGATTGAGAATAACAACTCGCACATGCTCAAACTCAAAACATAGTTTCATTAAAAATTGACGAGAGCGTCATTTATTCCTAAGTTTCGAAACTGTATCCATAGTCCCTGCAGGAATCTCAACATCTATCATATCCATTTCATTCTAGATCAGCATCATTGCAGAATAAAATTCCTGAATATTTTTTATCTTTAATTCAAGGAGTTCAATTCCTTCTCAAGCTGATACATTCTTGCTTCATTAGATTGCTGATATACACGTTTTAGGTATTCCCATATAGCCTTTGCAGTGTGCAAAGGACTCAAATTGAGGGTAATAGAGGTTTCACTGAATCCATGATCCATGTCTTAACTTTTGCATTATTGGCTATCCATTTGGAATCAACAACTCCATGTGACGGTTCAACAACAGAACCATCAATGTAACCCCATAATTCTTATCCATCCAAAAAAATTGGTAGATACGAGGCCCACAAAAAATAGTTTTGGCCATTGAGCTTGACGGCCAAAATATGAGAATCCATTGTTGGTAACAAATAATACTGGGATAAGAATTGTAAATATTTGGGTATCTTTGTTTGTTGAACAGAATAAGGTTGTTTGTTGAATAGGATAAGGGGTAACAACTCTACCCAACTTAGTTCCTCATTTATACACATCTAAGAAATGTTGTATAAGTATGTAGGGTTTTCCCAAAGTAATACAGAGGAAAATACGATAATTCGTCTGTTAACATGGTATCATTAGAGCACTTAATGTGCATATTTATTTTCTTTTTCTAGAGAGAGAAGCTTCTCAGCAAGCACTCCAAAACAGATAAGCACTCTCAACAAGCTCGTCAAACAAATAAGCACTCACAACAAGCTCGCCAAACAGATCCCTGGCAGAGGTATCAGAGCTTAGGTTGAATCTAACAAAGCATTGTTTTCTGTTTTTTTCTCTCTAGTTTCTCCTTTGTACTCTCTTGTTTGTTTCCGTGTGTCCACTTTCTCTCTCTAGGCCTTTCTCTCGGTTTGCTTCTCCTCCCTATATCTCGTACCAACGGAGACTGCACACACAGGTGCATCTATCTTGGCCCAAGGGACACTGCACATACAAGTGCGCCTCACTCTCTCTCTGTCTCTCTCACTGAACCTGGAGAGCACTTGACTTGGCTTGATAGTGGTAACATCAGAGATTTTGCCTTGAAATCTTTGTGATCTTTTATTTAGCCGTTCTTTGGTTGCTCTCTCTCAAGATTCCTTCAAGTGCTTTATCATCCTTTCCATTTCAAATCGCCTCGTGTTGCTTCCTCTCTCTGTCAGGATTTGCCTAAGCAAAGCCCTTTCATGCTTCCTTTCTATCTCTGATTTTAGTGGTCTGAATTTTCTCTCTCTCTCAAAGGAGTTTCCAAGGAACAACCCTTTCTTGTAACAAGAGTTGTTCTCGTATTTCTTCTACACCCTCTTAGCATTGTTCTGGATGGCTTCTCTCCATTAAATTTGCCCTAAGACAGTGCCGTTTCGCTCTCTTTCTGTTGTTTTTTTTGTGTGGCTGATACGCCTACTCTCTCATACAGCTGCTCTCTCTTGTGGGTATTGGTTAGTGCTAGTCTTATGTACTAGCTTGTGGTGCTAGTTTGTTAGTTCGTGTTGCTAGTTCGCTATGCACAGTGGTACTTAGGTTCTTGCTGCATGCATTCTTGGTTCCTGCCACTGTGGTTTATTTGGGTTTTCTTTTTGGCACATAAAAATCTTGTTTTCCTATGGTTTAATTGACTTGGGTAATATTAAACATTTGGGAGACATCTGCTGACGCTCTTTGGGTCAGTTTTGGGGATTAGTTATTTCCCAGTATTATTTGTTACCAACAATGGATTCCTATATTTTGGCCATCAAGCTTAATGGCGAAAACTATTTTTTGTGGGTCTATTATCTACAAAAAATTTTGGAAGGACGAGAATTATGGGGTTACATTGATGGTTTTATTGTTGAACCGTCAAATGGAGTTGTTCATTCCAAATGGACAACCAATAATGCAAAAGTAAAGACATGGATCATGGATTCAGTTGAAACCTCTATTGACCTCAATTTGAGTCTTTTGCACACTATAAAGGCTATGTGGGAATACCTGAAGCGTGTATATCAGCAATCTATTGAAGCAATAATATATCAGCTTGAGAAAGAATTGAACTCTCAAAATCAAGGATCAAAAAATATTCAGGAATTTTATTCTACAATGATGCTGATCTGGATTGAAATGGATATGATAAATGTAGAGATTCCTATAGGGGCAATGGATACAGCTCTGAAACTTAGGAAAACATCGCGCTCTCGTCAATTTTTAATAAAACTATGTCCTAAGTTTGAGCATGTGCAACCTGCTATTCTCAAACAAGAAGGTAGCCATGATATTGATAAAATTCTTCCTGAACTACTTGCAGAAGAGACTCGCTTAAAGTCACTTTCAATCCATGGTGATTATTCCAAGGATTCTGCTCTTTTGGCTGCTTCAGATATTAGAAAAGAACGGGATATGAGCAAAGTCCAGTATTATAATTGTCAAGAGATGAGACACTTGGCGAATAATTCCAAGAAGAGAAAGGTCTGCAATTACTGCAAGGAGACCGGACATTTAATCACAGAGTGCAGAAAGCGACCCCAAAATAAAAAGAAACCTCCTCAAGCATATGTTGTAGTCATGTCTACTTCAGACACGACCTTCATTGCTCCGACACCACCTTTTGTTATGCATGCACTACCATCCATTCCCTCTCAAAGTCAGTCAGCTTCCTTTACACCTGAATTTCTTCAACAAGTCATACAAACTCTCTACGCTTCTGGTTTTAGTAAAAGGTTGATTTCCAAACTTCTTGGGTACTAGATTTTGGTGTTTCTAATCATATGACAAGCAACTTGACATCTTTGAAACAAGTTGTTCCATATAAGGGCACTCAAAGTGTTCATTTTGTTAATGGTCAGTCACTTCGTGTGGACAAAGTTGGTTCACTGCCCATTCAACCCCCTAACTCTCCTCCTTTATCTCTTTCTAATGTTTTATATAGTTTTTCAAAAAGCGCTAGGCGGCAACTAGGAGGTCGAGGGGTTCCAGGCCGCCCAGCTCCTAGGCGGGGGCCCAGAACCTGGGCAGCTACGTAAACAAATTTTTTTTGGGTTTTCTCTCTCTAAAATAGCCTCTAATGGGTTTTAGGTTTCAAATGAACCTAAAACCCACAAATTTGCCCCCTTAGTATTAAAAAATGACCCAAAAATACCCTCAAGGAGCTGCATTTCCACCCTTGGGTAGGGTGCAGGCCCTAGGCGGCCGCCTAGGCGGGTTCAAGCAGGCGCCCAGGGATATCCGCCTAGGCGGCCGCTCAGGCGTTGGGCCGCCTGCTTTTGAAACAGTGGTTTTATATGTACCTAATCTACCAGCCAATCTAATTTATGTTGGTCAACTTGTCAAACAAAATTATATTGTCTCATTTTCCACTTCTAGTTGTTTGATATATGACCTACAGATCGGGAAGGTGCTTGGGAAAGGTCGTAACAAAGGGGAACTCGCTGTCTTGGACTTCGGAACTGACTCATCCTCTAGTCAATGTTTTTTTGCTCCTTCAGTCTCTGAAATAAATTATGGCAATAAACTTTGGAGGCTCTAGCATTATCGTTTGGGTCATCCTCATAATTTGAATTTGACTTTATTGTTTTCTTCGGGTGTGTTACTGAATAAAATTAATACCAAGAATGTGCTAGATAAATCATGTGAAGATTGTCTCCGTGCCAAAGCTGTGACATTACCTTTCAGTTCAAGTATGAGTCGTGTTGTTGGTGCCTTTGATGTAATTCATAGTGATGTATGGGGTCTAACACCCATTGCTTCCTTAACTAAAAAATATCATTTCATTTCTTTTATAGATGATTGCTCTAAATATTCTTGGATATATTTTTTGCATCGCAAGTAAGAGGTTTTACAAGTGTTTCGAGAATTTCATGCAATGGTAGTCACCTAATTTAACAAGAAGGTGAATCTATTGCACAGACTTAGGGGGAGAATATATGTTAAAGTATTTTCATAATTTCTTGGCTAAAGAAGGCATTCTACATCAACGAAGTTGTCCTCATACACCACAACAAAATGGTGCTGCAGAAAGAAAGAATAGACACATTCAAGAAATAGCTAGGGCACTTCTTCTTCATACAAATATGCTTAAAATATTTTGGGCAGAAGTATTCTTAACTGGAGTATATTTAATTAATAGATTGCCCTCTCTTGTATTAAATAATACTTCACCACTTGAGAAATTATTTGGGCATCCGCCTAATTACTCTTTACTTCGAATTTTCGGATGCACATGTTTTGTTCTCTTACCTTCAATTAGTAGATCTAAGCTAGATGCAAGGTCTGTCAAATGCACGTTTCTCGGATACAGGGAGACACAAAGGATATCGCTGCTATGATTGGGAAGCTAAGAAATTGAGAATATCCTGAAATGTGATCTTTTTAGAAAATGTTCCATAATTTTCTAAAACCTTGTGTTCATCTCAATCAGTGTCCTTGACTCCGTCATCCACTACTTCCATCTTGTCTGTATTTCCTAACCCTTTGCAGCAGTTTGAACAACAGACGAGAGCTTCCCCGATTACTTATGCACCACCACCACCGAAAACAGGTATTGTACCTACTCCACATCCTCCCCCTTCCACATTGGCTTTAAGATGCTCCACTCGAGTTCCTAAACCAGTTGTTTGTCTTTCTTTACTTTCAACACTTGAACCACTTTCCATTCCTAGTTCTTACAAAAAGGCAACAAATAGTGCAGAGTGGAGTCAAGCAATGCAGACAGAAATGGAGGCATTGGAAGCTAACCACACATGGGATTTGGTCCCACTTCTCAGAGGTCATATTGTGGTCGGTAGCAAATGGATTTATACTGTCAAACTTAAGTCGGATGGCACATTAGATCGATATAAAGCTAGACTTGTCGCAAAAGGCTATAATCAGGAGCATGGCCTCGATTATGATGAGACTTTTATACCAGTTGCTAAAATGACTACTGTCCGAACTTTGATTGTTGTTGCTGCCATTCGAAATTCAGATATATTCCAGATGGATGTAAAAAATGCTTTTCTACATGAGAATCTATATGAAACCGTTTATATGCAACCACCACCTGGGTACCCTACTTCGTCAACTCAAATGGTGTGTAAATTACAAAAAGCAATCTATAGGTTGAAACAAGCACCTCGAGCGCGGTTTGCAAAGCTAAATTATGCCTTCAACAAGTCCTACAAGCTCTCCATGTTTCTGGTTTTGGTAAACTTGATTTCCAAACTTCTTGAGCATTATATTATGGTGCTACCAATCATATGACAGGTAACTTGACATCTTTGAAACGAATTGTTCCATATAAGGGCACTCAAAGTGCTCATATTGCTAATGGTCAGTTACTTCCTGTCGACAAAGTTGGTTCACAGCTCATTCAACCCCCTAACTATCCTCCTTTATCTCTTTCTAATGTTTTATATGTACCTAATCTATCAACCAATCAAATTTTTGATGGTCAACTTGTCAAACAAAATTATATTAGCGTATTTTCCACTTCTGGTTGTTTGATGCAGGACCTGCAGACCCGGAAGATGATTGGGAAAGGCTGTAAGATAGGGGCACTCACATCAATGAAGTAAAACTTAGCCATCAAAACCCATTCCAAAGACAAAAGCTTCAAGCACATCGAGTCTTGGAAGAAATCCCCACTGATTCTTGATATGCAATTCAGTAGCTCCATACTTAACTTTACCCAAACTTTTTGAGGCAATTGAGACCTTCACGCCAGAGCAAAGGATTCAAAATCGTTGTCTTCAGGCTCCATTTTGATAACCAGAGAAATGGTACTTAATCTGGTCTGGGTCTATAATAATAGAAGCAGTAGATCATTTCCTGAGGAGTGTGAGATTCAATAGGGTGGGTTTGAGGGGCCATAGATGCCGTTAACATCAAAAATTTCTTTAAGGAAACTCAGAACTTCCTTCAATAGAGTGGAGCACATACACAACAGGAAAAACTAGCCACCTGCAACAAAGTAAAAGCCCATGCTTTCCAATCATAAATTTCTAGGGAAACTCAGCCTAAACCTCCATGTTCAAAATCATTTTTTTTGGGGCAGAAACAAAAAAAGTACTAATCATATGACATAGAGACTCAAGCTACTCATTACATATTTTTCAGGAGATTTAGATGCTTATCAGACCTGCTGGATTGGGAATGGAAAATTTTTGGGTCAAAACAACCACTGTAATTAAATCACTCTTCTTCTAATTCTCTAGTACAATATCAATGAAAGCTCGCCCTTTGTTTCAAAGAGCGAGCTTTCACAAAACCTAATAAATTTGACACAAATTCAGGCTTTTCTTGGGTTCTTATCCCAAAACTTTAAAGGGCAAGAGCTTGTGTACTCTCCTGGACCAATGACAAGCCACCGTTTCGACCCTTATCCATTTCTTTATGCCACTAGAAGACAACTTATTGTTTAAAGCCATCAGATTCTCAGGAAACTGTACGAGGAAGCACGAACTGGTGTATGAACAACTAGTGGAGAGACAAGTGAGATTTTAGTGACAATAGGTCTACATCAAGTGTCAGCATTAGGCCAATACCTATGTCTTAGTTATAGAAGACTTAACTTGACACCTACAAGATGAGGTACCGTGGTGCATGTTGTTCGCAGAGGACATAGTTCTGATCGATGAGACTTGAAACAGTGTCAACACAAGTAACTTTGGAGGGATGATTTAGAATCTAAAAGTTTTAAAACTCGCCAGATTAAGACAGTATGTGAAATGCAAGTTTATTAATAATACAAGTAGAGATAACGAAGTAATTAAGATTGATGGCCAAGAAATACTGAAAAGATCACACTTTCAGTATCTTGGGTCGATAATCCAAGAAAATTGAGAGATTAAGGAAGATACCGCACATAGAATTAGAGTTGGGTGGCAAAGTGGAGATGTGCAGCCAGAGTTATATGTGACCGCCGCATACCTATGAAGCCGAAGGGCAAGTTCTAAATTGCAGCTGTGAGACCAGCTTTGCTTTATGAGGCGGATGGTTGGGCGGTCAAAAAACAACATACCCATAGAATGAGTGTAGTTGAGATGAGAATGTTGATAAGAGTAGTGGCAAGACAAGAAAAGATAGAATTCAAATTGAATACATTCGATAGAATTTAGAAATGAGAGAAAGTAGACTTAGGTGGGCTGGTCATGTGTAATGTAGACTTAGTACAACACCTGTTAAGAGGTGCAAACTAGTTCAAGTGGAAGGCTCAAAAAGGGCAAAGGGTAGGTCTAAAAGGACATGGTTGGAAGTAGTGAGAAAAGATGTGCAATCTTATGACCTCACTGAGATCAGAATGGCAAACTAGAATTCGTGTAGCCGACCCCAATTAGTTGGGAAAAGGTTCCGACGATGATGATGAAATTCTCAGGAAATTCTGCTTGAATTTCCTTGTTCACAAACTGTTTCTTGGATTGGTCCATGTTTTCCAAAAATATTTGGAGATTATCACTGGCCAAAGAAGATTCAAAGGATAAGACAACAAAAGTAATGGATTTGTTATTGGTTATCATCATTGCATGCGTGTCGAGGTGAGAGACCATTGCATTTAAGCAAGAAGCAAGACAAAGATAGCTCATCAGCATCCCCTTGGCATAGGCTTAGGGGCTTAGGAGCTCTCTCTCTCTCTCTCTCTCTCACACACACACACACACACACACAAATTGCTCTCAAAGGTATTAGGCTTTCTGATTCAAAGAAAGGAACCTGACTTCTCTAGATATCTCTTACTTTCTCAAAGCAATCATGGTTTACATTAGAGAACAGTAATATTGGTGCAGAGATTTGGAGACAACCATTGTATCTGGAGCTCCAGACATCTCCATCAAATGGAAAAATGAACCTGCATTGGCAAGGTTCCCTCCTGAACAAGATTTAGGGCTTTGAAGCAGAGTTGCAAAGGCTTCTACATAGAGAATTAGAGTTTGGTGAAGTTTGAAACTTTGATGACAATGGATCTTGAAGCCTTAGATCCCACTTTCAAGCTTATGGTTTTATCCACTTAGATTTTGACGCCTTAGATCCCCCATTTCAAGCTTTCGCTTTACAGTTCATACAATAACCATTATCAAGTCTTAAAGATCATTGTGTAGCCGTGAAGACCTTTTGTAGCTGAAATCTTTGGAATTTGGCAAAATCTAGGGTTCAATTTTTATCAAATCTCTGGACTTTTACAGCTCTTCATTTGGGCCGATGGCTAATTATGTAGCATCGAAATTGAGAAATGTTCCCAAAAAAAAAGGCTGCTTCATCTGCCAATTGAGGTGATTCCATTAGTTCTGCAACTGCATTTCGACAAGAGGGATTTTCTAGTGAGATTCTGGGAAGATCCCGGCTTTTTCTAGGGAGACTCTGCCTTCAGGGTTAAAAGAGACTAGAGAGAGAGAGAGAGAGAGAGAGAGAGAGAGTCCTATCTCATTCTCCCTGCTCAAAAACCCAACAAAAGGACAAAGTTACAGTGAGATGCGAGTAAAGTAAAAACAACTGCAAAAGAAATTTAAGTTATAGAGAAAACAAGTTTAACATCAATAATGTTATAAAGGGATACTGCCAAACAATCAACATCTTTATCAACAGTATTTTTGTTGTAACAGAAAATCATTACTGGTAATTGGCGGAGTGGAACAGGCCATAAATACAAAATGTAAACAAGATAATTAAACTACCTCAGTTATGAGAATCTTTGATCTAAGGGCATCTGAATTGCGTGGCTCAAGTATAAAATCAGACATTGTATCACCTGTGAAAGCCACCTCTGGAGACAGTATGGTATCTGTGATCTAAAATATAATCATAAAGTCCAATGAATCTATAAGAAACATCCATACAGAATTAGAAGAAAGGTCCATAGGCTATAATTACTTAGGCACTTAATAGAATATCTCCTAACTAATAAGCTTATGTCACTAACCTCGACGCCAGAAAATTTCAAATTCTTGATCTGATGCCCTTTCAAGTGAAGATATTGCTTCTTTAGCTTATTCCTCACTGAGTAGACAACATACCCCTTAACCAAACAAAACCAAAAATGAAGAGGATCATCATGAGTTACCACTAAACAGAGGCAGCAAAAGAGAGAAGAGATTAAACAAAATCCCCATGAAATCACAGCTCATTGTTCAAGAGTCAAAGGATATACCTGGCTGGGTATGACATGATATGTTCTGAATGGCCTTACAACAAGATCATTTCTTATTTCGTACGTTTCGCCTGAAGTGAGAGTTGCAGCTTTAAGCTTCAATTTTAGAGGGGCACGCAAATTAACAAAGAGTGATTGATTAACAAGAAATGCATACCCACATCTAATGCAACCAAATCAAGTTTGAGTTGGTCCCGACTCATAATCCTATGAATCTCAAAAAGCTTCTCTACGTCTTCCTTAATACATGGAGGTACAACGACTGTAGGTGGTTTTAAGCCGTAAAGACCACGAGTTGCAACATACATCGGAAGCCCACCCTGCAATTAGTTTAAGCATGCTCAGACACCAGTTTTCACTATGATCTGACCAGGGTATCACCATGGAACAACAAAAAAACAATCCAATCACCATCATCATAGCCTTATCACAACAATTTGGGTCGATTATACAAATCCTGTTCCGCCAATCCAATTAAAAGTAAGGGTAGAAAACAAAAATAATGGAGAAATCTTTGACTCCACCAGAAACCATTCAGTTTCCCTAGATAGGTCATGCTTTGAAAAAAGAAAGTAGGAGTCCACAAGTAACCATAGATACTATAAAAGAATGGCACAAAGCAATCACAAGTAAGGAAACTCACAGTAAAACAATCAACAAACTCACAATGTGATCAAGGTGAGCATGAGTGATAAAGAGAAAATCTTGGTGCACAGCTTTAGCAGGGCACCTTCCAATATCAAAAGCCACATTCATGCTAGGAACCACTACACAGGTTTCATGGCCACCAACTGAAACTCCTTCTATCAGAACATTCTCAACCTCCACTCCCTTCCTATTAACCTCTGCCCTAGCTTTCCTGTACTCTTCCTCTTCTATTGCAGAGTTTACAGCAGAGAGAAAACCCGAACGTCTCATGGCTAGCAATGATGGACCAGTGCCATTTTGGCCGGAATCTGCATAATCCCGGCCAAACTTTCGCGGGGAAAATTGTTCAGTCTTTGCTGGTTCGTGGTGGATGGCCGGAAATGGGAGATAGGAGCACGAAACGGGAGAAGGGGAGAACATGGTGGTCTAGAATTTCAGGCCGTCGTGGTCATGAATTGAGGGTTTTAAGGGTTTAGTTGGCTATTTTTTCGAAATTGCGGGCAAGAAGATAAATCCGAATACATATCATGTTCCGTAGGAGTAGATTGTCCATTTACTCACTCGGGTAAAAACCAAGTCTCCGTTTAAAACACAACTTTTTAAAAAAAAATCTTTGATTTTTTTTTTTGAAGGATTTTCAAAAAAATCGCCTTTTTTCATGGAACCCATCTAAATCCTTATTTTTATCTTTTTTCAAAAAATCTTCTTCCTTTGAACTTTATTTATTCATTAGCTTCATATCATTAAATTTTTATTTAAAGATAAGCCAATTAGTGGTAGGAGTAAATTAATAATCTTGATTTAAAGAAAAATTCCATAAAACGTTTCACCAATAATTTCTCTTAAAAAAATTTATAAAAAATTACAAACAAAATATTCCTTAAAAATATTAGAACAGTTGTATATCTCCAAATAATAGGCAGAGTTAGAAGAGTAACCCAATGATAAATGTTTTTGTTTTCTCTTTAAACCCAGTGCTTTTTATAAGAGCATTTTGTGTGAGATTAGAATTTGCTTAAAGATTTTGTATACTAAAGATTCAAGCAGTTAGGAAGTCAGCATGAGATTCTAATTTGCTTAAACATGTTGTTGCTTTCTTTATATATAGAGAAGTTTGATTGATTGTATTCTTTTATTTTTTATTTCATTGGTGCATATAACATAGCGTTTTGGATGGACTACTATTTTACGTATTTGGGTATGTATTTTGTTTAGTTAATTGATATCATATTATGAGGGTCTTTTTTGTATTTTTTTCTTATTCAAACAATAATCCTACATCTTAGTTTACAGTTCTTGTTATCTACTAATATAGTTATTGTGTTAAGTATTATTTATATTCCGTTTTATGCTCCAAATAAATCTATGATACGTTTCGTGTTGTGACAATAGAGTAAGTACTATTATTAGACTTATTGAAAGTTTGGTATATTGTCAAGTATCACTCTAACGACACTAGGTCAGGTGATAAAATTATTGTTTAATGGCTTTAATATATCTATACAATAACCGCAAATCATAATCCTGTATTAATGTCATCTTTACATATCCAATTTTGTCACTCCATTTTTTAGACAAAACCAAATTATTCACTACTTTATAATTTACCTTATTTTTGACGATCAGTATTTTCTACTTGATTTTTTCCATCGACTTTTTAAAACAAAATCGATTCATTACCAATGTTTTGGCTTGTCGAATTTTTATTATTCCCCGACATGTTAACTATGGTAAAAACCCACCAACGACCTCAAATTGTAGCGCAAACCTTTCAAGTTTCAACGAATAGATTAACCTCAATAATATCATTTTCGAGGAAAAATCTTTCCATGAGTCATGGCGTGAGACCATATACAAAGCGATCCACGGAACCAGCCTATCATAGCCCAATTATTTAACATGATGGAAATTCATACATTGGCTTGTGTCCTCGCATGAGTGAGCACAAACTCGGGAAGTGGATTTAATGGACCGGCCCGCCAATGCTCAGGTACATGCGATGCTACAGTATAGGCAGGTCGGCCCATATTTATAGATCCAGGCGGCCCATGTTAACCTAAACTGGTGGGGGCAGTTTAGTTCCTTTCTTTTTGTTGCCATTTTTCAAAACAATTTCATGCGCCCAATTCTCAAACCACTCCACAAAATTTCGAGTTTAAATAATTAATAAAAGGGTGTGGTTTCTATGAGGTTGTAACCGTAAACAATCCAATTAAAGTGTGCCTCTAAATTGTAGCGTAATATGTAATTTTAGTCTTAGGATTATCTAAAAATCGATTTTCATATCTAATTATAAAAATTTAAACTAAAAGAATGATTTCAATCAATTAGATCTATAAAATCAATTAGATCTATAAACTTATAAAAATATTGAGGTTTCTCAAAAACAAAAAAAAAAACTTATGAAAATCTTGAAAATGGACGGTCTAGATAATGTGTTGTAAGAAACACTATTTCTAGGACTTAATTTTTTTTTTTGTCATATTCATTCATCTCGATATCGAGATGATCAATTAGAGGGTTTTTCAACATTAAAACAACCTTTTCCGATAGATTTTTTAGGTGCATTTTTACTTCTACATTTAAAGATTGCAATCTTGTATAAACTTTTTCCTTAATAAAAATATTGAAAAAATAAAGATTGGTAATATATGCTGGCCATTACATACCATGGGATTGAATCTGAGCCATCCAACCTATATTATTCCCCAGTCCGGTTGGCACAAGTTGGAAAACTTGGGCTTCGTGCTCAAAAGGTTCGTTGGTTCTTTGACGTTGGATGGTATGTAACTTTTGAAAACAAACCATCAAAGATCTATGCCCCAACGCATCGCTAGCGTATGTTGTGCATGGCATATATGTGCGTATGTAGTCCAATGCACAAAACAAACCAAAAAATGGAAATTGCGCTCTATTTATCCACCGGAGATCAATCATCATATGTCCATCACATGAATTATGGTTGATCTCTATCATTCATCAGTGAGATGAACGGTGGGCGCTGTATACCCTACCCTCTTAAGCTCTGTATGGTATAGCTCGTATTTAATGGGACACCATTAATCAACACAAATATTTAACCACATGGATAAGTGCAAAATTCAACTTTATCCATTATTAATGTTTTAACATCCACCCATAGGATTTGATGTGAAATTCTGAACCAAACCAACCTAACTGTATATTTTTTTTTTAGAATCCCATTTATATGCAGTGACATCACCATTCCCAGGTTTCAAAATAAATAAATAATCTTCATCATCCCATCCAAGACACAGGAAAAATTGAATTTCCATTAATTGAATAAAATTTACAATAAAAAATAAACAGCAACCCTTGGCACATTAAAAAAGAATTGAATTTCCCTTAATTGAATGATTTTACAATAAAAAATATACAGCCAACAAAAAGGGACTGCTCAACATGAATAAGAGAAATGAATTTCCCTTAATTAAATGAACTTTACAATATAAAATACACAACCAAAGGGACTGCTCATAACGTTGCATTAAATAGGAGTTAGTACGCTCTTCTTTTTAGTGGCCTTGTGTTTGCATCTGACTCTCCCCTTCCTTCTGACAAGTCATTGAATCGAGGCTCACTGGGATGCCAAGATGGGGACTGAGGCAATGACTGATTTGGGTCATAAGGAAAAATACCCTCAAGCTCTGGATCATGCGAGAAGTTATATGGGAGCTTCCTTCTATCCATCTTCCGAAACGTGATAGAGGTCCTGTATTAATTAAAATATTGGGTTGTTAGGGTCTCATGCTTAGTACAATTCAACAAATTTGTGAAATCTATTGAATTAGACAGTTTAGGTTTCAAAATCGAATAGCTGAGTTCCAAAATGTCAATTTCTTAACAATGTCTTACTTCAAGAAATATTACCTCTTTGCTGGAACACCTGGCACCGAATGTTTTGCCAAATTAGTGCCATTGCCATTCAAGATCAACACTGACCTGTAGAAGGAAACAGAAGCAAATTGAGAAATGCTAAGATGGAAAGGAATCCAAGAAGTTGCAATCCTCCTACAGACCATATAGTGAATAGACTGCTCAACCACCACCTTCTATGTGAAGAAACTGAACCATAAATGGAAAATAACAGGGATTGGCAGATTACCACAATTCTAACTCTTGAAATCAAAAGGAGAACAAAAAAACAGTAACGTCTCCAAGTTCTAAGCACTTGAAGTAATACTTGTCTCCCAAATAACAGTAGGAAATGAGTCAGAATAAACGGGTATACAGCATGAGATCTAACATTGTGCACCCTAAGAGCATGAGGCTTAATCATAATGACCAGTTACAAGACTAACAACTGAAGTGTCAGGAACAATTTTTTTTACACACCAAACAGAAAGCAATTGCCAAATAACATCACATATTGCAAAAAAACAAAAATCGTTTGTTTATACCCCTAATGAGCACAACATTCACTGTTGGGCCACATACCAGGGCACCGAGTATAATGTGAAAGCCTCGATTTCTATGTATCCAAATTGAAAAGAAGAATAACAAGAAAATCTATCAAAAGATAAATATAAGATGAAAAGGAATCCAAGAACACATAACACACTCTTTTGTTTCCTAAGAAGGCTAAGGAAAAAATGGAAGGAATTGTATGCATACCCGACAGGCAAAGGGATTGAAAATGAACCGCCAAATTCTCCAGGTCCCAAGATTTTCAGGTTAGAACCGAAAAGTATGCTGCACTCACTGAGGAACGACACCATGCAGAAAGGGCGGACAAAGTCAAGGTGATCGATATGGGGTGGTATACAGTCTCCTTTATCATAAATGTTCACAATGCAGCTGTCGGGAACACAAGTTGTAGGGAGGATGCGCCACCTAACCATTCTCTTGATCATTGTTTTGAAGATGGGAGGAATGGGGTCTACTTTCTCATCTCGAATGCTGCCTGGTGGGTTCCCATTCTTATCCTGTTCAAAGAAGATTCATAACATGTCAGAGTTTCTAATGACTCGTATTTTCCTTAATTATTTGTTTAAGAATATAAAATAAAAAAAGGAGAAACGTTTCCAATTTTGAATCAATATTTACCACGGCATAGTTATAGCAGCAACCAAATTGAATGGTCACACGTCCCTTCCCAGGCATCCATTTCCGTGGTTCGGAATATGTTCGCACTGCACATACAAAATATAAATGGCTTAATGCATATCAAACAAATTATAGCCACTGCTTTAACCCATTAAGAATACCAATCAATGCACTTAGGAGAAAAAGCAAGTATCAGAAGTAAAATTTCAAGGGTAGTGCATAGATAAGAAAATCCACAACTTAAATGAAATTCCAAAAATCAGACCAAGTACATTAACTGTAGTAGTATACGAAATTTCTGCTCTTTGCTGGCAAAGTTTTTACACTAGACATTAGCATGAAATATGGTGCTAAGCCCTCTATGGGATATCAAACCAAAATCCATAACAGAGAAAAATTGGATGGCATCTCCTAGACACAATTCCAGAGTTAAATGAGTTCATTTAAGTTGTAGAAGTATCTGAATCTCACGACCAAATCAACAATTAGAAAAACAAAAATATGCATATGATGGAGAGATAATCAAGCCCTATATCATTTTGCAAGATGAATCATCAATTACTTGGTAGCTTTCAAGATTACAAATCCTACTATGCATGTTGAATGTTCTATGTGCCCAGAGCCCTGTTAATCGTCGTCACACTTGTTTTCAAGTGCCAACAGAACATGGGTAAAGCAGAAAAATGTTGCATCAGAGCAATGCTTTTTCTAAACATACAAACTTCACCTTGGAGCAAGCGGCCCAGGTCCGAGCAAGGTAGAATAGGCCAATTCGAAATAAGATAAGGCTGAGTTTTCAAGAAAGAAGGATTGATGGACACGACTGTTTCTCAAGATCTTCATACAGACATGGCATCCAGAACCGAGTGACTCAACCGATTCAGATTCAGACTTGGCAAGTTTTAAGATACTGCTCCAGAACCTAAAGTTATTACCAGCAAGATGCCATAGGATTTCTATAAGAAGTTGGCTATAGAAATAACAAAAAACGACTAAGTCCACAAGAAAAATCTAGAGATCAAGTGTAATGACAAACTGGGGAGCAGGAAAACATCGGTGCGGGAGAGACGACCAAAAGAGCATTCAGGAATGATCTGGTATTTGGAATATTTCTTGAAAAGTGAAGGGGGGACCTGGGCATAAAAAAACAAGGCATGAACAAATAATCAATTGCCGATTCAATTCTTTCAAGCATCTTAGAAGAATTTCCTGTTGTACTTTTATTTATTTTTAACCGTGTTGTTTCCCGGTGAAAAAATTATGACAAGGGGGGTCAGTGGACTATAGTGAACAGTGTGATGATTGTTATGAACAAGAGGCAACTTACAGTGGAATTCTCATATGCTCCACATAGGCACACAAAAAAGAATGAAGAAAAACAGTGTACAATAATCTGTGTATAACACAAAAGCACAACACTAATAAGTCTTAAATATGGGATACATCGCTTTTCTTACTTGAACACAAGGAACAATTCTTGCAACCAAAGAAATGTATACATTAACATGCAGCAGGTGCAATCATACATAGTTAAATGAGAAAGCATAAAACCATAAAAACGTATATAAGATTACCCCCACTGGAGATTTACTGTACACTTACTCCCACAAGCGAAAGAGCTACCTAGGAGGACTTTTTTTTAAAATCAGAAATTTTGCGATCCACCTAAAAAACACCAGACGACTATCTCCCATTAAAAAAGAATTATTTGTGAGTTCTTAAACACCCATATATGACCATGATCTATGCTCAATATTAGAAGGTTACCTTTTTCAGGCACATAGAGAGTGTGGTTTTTTCTTTTTTCTATTTCCTTTTTTCCTGTTTAATGATGGTTGTCGTTCTCAAAAGGTTATATATCCAAAATGTGGGGCATAAAAATACTCCTAAATTGGGTTTCACTTGAGGATTGAATGAAGGAAATACTCCCGCTGGAAAATAGAATCTTTTGACGAACACTAAAGATATATTCAATTGATTATATGTAACACTTTTTTGTTGGATGGTTGCCACCATTATGCCTTAAGTTTATGATGCTGAATTCATCAATATGTATGATGTGGCTCTATGGTGCAGGAGAATAAAAGGCTATTGAAGTGGCTGCTCCAACATAAAAAATATTGGAAAGACATGAAACACTTAAAACTACACATATCATGAGATATATTACCAAATAATGCCATACTACCATAATCAAAACTATCTACACCAAAACAAGTAAGTAAAAGTCCTACCTTTAAGTTGTTTTTTCCTCCCCATCTCTTGAAGGTTATAAACATAATTAACAATCTTCTTCTGTTCAGCAACACTGAAAACACCGGTGTGCAGCTCAAGTCCCTGGAGAATGTTAACCAGTCTCCCATTGACCCTCTCTAGGCATACATAGGCCTTCTTCCTCTGCACTTGCATAAAACGAATACGCTCTCTCTCATCTCTTGACATCGAAGTCTCATGAAATTTGCTTCCTCCATTTGAGGAATCTGGATCCATGATACCTGTAAAATTTAGAGAAAGAAATAAATTAACCAAAAAACAGATAAACATCAGAAGATTATGAAGAAATTTGTGAAGGACCATGATCACTACTACCTATAAAAGTGATCACTATTACCTACAAAATATACAGAATGATCAACCATCTGGAACGCATAAAGTAAAATCACGAATAAGGCGGCCACGCAGAAGTGGGATTATTTTTTATTTCTATAGACTACAATTACTGCTCCTACCTAGTCATAATCCTTGAAAGTGAATTCAGTTTTCACTATAGATAGGTAAATTGACAAAGTAAAACATGACGCTTCATATCAAAGGAAAAATGAACCTTTGTGTTAAACATGTAAGTTTTGCACTGTCTTATCACATCCACACCACAAAAAGTATTGTGTCAGAGAACATCTATTGAACATGAAACTTTGTACAAAAACTAGTAGTGCTCTTTTAGTATGAAACCAACTTCTTTATGTGCATAGTTCCAATGTCATGGGACTCGCTCGATTCCTCTAGGACTTGGCCCGAGTTAACCCCAACTTCTGCATTCAACTCGGGGTTCATAAACAGATTTCAAAAAATTCCAAAAAAATCGTAAAAATATATATAAATTTTGTGTTTATGATTTTCCCCTGTCTTCCGAAAAAGCTCAGCAGTGCCTAGGCGGCCGGGGATCCAGGCCACCCAGACCTAGGCAGCGCACTGGACCAACTAGAAAGAACCCCTAAAATCTAGGGAAATCATGGAAATCACGAGGTTTTTCTAGTTTGAAATCAACCTAAAAACCCACTATTTTCCCCTCTTTTTCTTCTTAAAAAAAAAAAAACCTCAAATATTGCCGTTGGGCATTCCGCCTTTTGGAGCAATGCCCGTACTAATAGAAATTGAAGCAACCTAATCGTAAGAAATCGTAAGAAAAATGAATTATGAATACTAACCCATTTCTTGGACGGATGGAATCAGCTAATATTCATGAAGCATAACTAGATCCCTGATAACACTATTAAAAGTCAATGTTAGAAGTCCCTAGGCTACGAACTCATAGTAAAAAGCTCAAACAAATTGATCTGCTAGTGCCTGAAAGACCTTAGCATTCAATGTTCTTGTAAAAAAGAAAAGAAAGAGTCTATAGCTTGAGATTCACTCTCTAAACAAACGGGAAAAGAAAGAAAAGCAAAATCATAAACTACCACAAAACCCTAACTATATCAGTTCCAAACAAAACCCAATTTCCTAATCGCTTCTCAGCCAAAGGAACCCCCAGAAAACCCTTACCATATCAGTCAAAGCAAAATAGAAACCAATTCTCAGAGAAATGAAACCAAACCCAGTAGAAGAAACCCTAAAAATAAAGAAAACCTAATTCACGGAGTCAAACACTCACCAAGAGTCTGCCTAATACGGGCAGATAAAACATCAGTGCACCCCCTGCAAAGCCCCTTCGTGAGAAAGGCGATAGTCTCAGACAAGTTCGAGACCTCAAGCCCTCCGCCTTCACCGCTAACATTCGAGACCACACCCATTCTTGACTCTTGAGAGAGAGATTTCTGGTTCTAAAAGAGAGAGAAAAACTTCTGGCACTAATAGAGAGGGTGAGAGAGCGCGCCATTAAATGGAGAAGGTTTTCATATTTTGAATTCCTTGCGACTTGCGAGTCCCCGATCGAAATCGTCGCTTCGTACCGAGCCAACTTTAGGACCCGTGAAATTAGAAATTTTAGATCTTTAAAATTCAAAAAAATCTATTGATTTCTAATATCAATAATTCTTGCTCTTTAATCTCTTATTTGGATATACAGTACAAAATTCATAGATTCCTTACAATTATTTTCATGTCTATTGTTTGGTAACAAAATTTGATGTAATTTCAATCTCGAAAATTTTAGTATATTTTTTCTCTCTAAACTTCAAAATTTAGGATAGTCTCTCTCTCTTAAATTTTTTTGAAATAGTTTGTCTTTAAAATTTGATAGAGTTATTACGTACGGACCCTTAAAAAGTAAGAAAAATACATGATGCTCCCTTTTAAGTAAAAATTTACCAGAAAGGTCGATCAACGCGCGGGTTTTTTGTTTCAAGTTTGCCCCATTGATCCACAGTTGAAATTCTCGGACCACTTTTTTTTTTCAAAACTTAAGTTGCGGTTCGAGGTTGAAATTCTCGGACCGTTTTATTTTTTAAGTTTTGCGGTTCAAAAACTTAAGTTGCGGTCGAGGTTTAAATTCTCAAACCGCTTTGTTTTTGTTTCAAAAGTTAAGTTGCAGTCCGAGGGTCGAATTCTCGGACCGCTTTAAAAACTTATGTTCCAACCAGCGTTTTAAAAAACGCCGAGTCGAACCGGACTCGCCCGGTTCGACTAGGAATTCGC